CCAAGTCATCATACCAGTGAAGTCATTAGTGGTGTGATATATACTAGTAATTTATCTTTTGAAGTTAACAGAAGAGTCTTATCTGTTAAGTTGATATAATTTGTTGACTTAGAGTTAGAACTTTTCTCCTGCTGAAACAATTCCTCAAGGTGTTTAATGAATGAATAACTAAATGAATACAAGTGGCAACTCCATCAGAACCCCTAATATAATATAATATTCTGTTCTCACAAGAAGCACTTTGAAAAATAATTAATCTGCCCTAGCTGGTTTGGCTTAGTGGATAGAGCGTCGGCCTGTGGACTGGAGGGTTCCAGGTTCAATTCTGGTCAAGGGCACATGCCCAGGTTGCGGACTCGATCCCTAGTCGGGGGCATGTAGGAGGCAGCTGATCAATGATTCTCTCTCATCATTGATGTTTCTATCTCTCTCTCCTTCTCCTCTCCTCTCTAAGATTAATAAAAAATATATTTTTTTAAAAAAGAAAAATAATTATTTTTTTCCTTGACGTAAAAATAATACCTAGTCATTGCCAAAAATTTGGAACTTACAAAAAGATATAAATAAAAAAATAAAATTACTAGTATGTACCATTCAGAGATGACACATTCCATTTTCTAAGTTTTACTGAAATAAAATTTATTTATAAATTTATAAAACTTTAGTTTACCTAAAGTGTACAATTTAGTGGTTTTTATTTATTTACAGAGTTGTGCAACCATCACCACAATCAATTTTAGAACATTTTTATCACTCCATGCAGAAACCCCATCACCATTAATAGTCACTCCTCATTTCCCCCATACTCCCAAGCCTAAGCAACTATTAATCCACTTTCTGTCTCTTTAGATTTGCTTCTTCTGGACATTTCATATAAGTGGAATTATATAAAATGTGCTTTTATTTGTCACTGTTGTTTTTTCGTTTAGTGTAATGTTTTCAAGATTCATCTATGTTGTAGCATGTATCAGTACTTCATTTCTTTTATTATCAAACTAGAGACCCGGTGCACAAAATTCATGCATGGGGGAGGGGTGTGGGTCCCTTAGCCCAGCCTGCATCCTCTCACAATCCAGGATGCTGCGTGCACCAGTGACCATACTTTTTATACCGGTGAAAGGCATCATGCTGTTGTATGGGCAGGTACATTTTTTTGCCCTGATTATAAAAAAAAGTACATAACATGATCCTTCTCAGGCAGTAGTACCATTTTCCCCATCTTATGGGTGGAAAAACTGAAACAGAAGTTAAGTAATTGGCTTTGTCACATAGTTACAAGTGTCAGAATCAGGGCTGACCACAAAATGTGCAAGCCAGAGTCCATGCATGTCATCACTGCATCATCCTATTTTTTCAGTGTTAGAGTATCCTTGCCAGGTTTTAATTTTTAAATCTAAGAGACTTTTCCCCTTCCCTAGGGTAGGGTCCCTAGGCCTGGCTCGGGGTGGGGGGGGGGGGGCACCCGTTTTGGCTGGCAGTCTGGTGCCTCCCGCTGGCTAGCCCCACCCCCTGACCCCCTGATCGCTGCTGCCTGTTGCCTCCCTTTCCGGGGGCAGATGCATCATAGTGACCAGTCATTTTGCCGGTAATTCCACTGGTTGGTCGATTTGCATAGTAGGGTTTTATTGTATAGGACTAGAGGCCTGGGGTGTTGAGGGCGGATCGGGGTGAGGCCAGCTGGAGGGAGGGGCTGTTGGTTGCTGGCCAGGGGGTGGGGCCAGAGGGGCCAATCAGGCCTAGATCAGGCTGGTCGACTGCCACAGTACGTGTCTTAGCCA